CTCTTTCCACATTCTTGTTTAACTTTTTCGTAGACATGCTTTTAGAGTTAACTTTAACTTCTTCAGATTTTTCAGGGGTGGACCTGCTACCAGGAGGATCGCTTATTGACCTAGAATATGCCGATGACAGAGTTCTAGGTAAGGATGGCAGATCAGTTGTTGAAGTATGAAACTTCATCAGTTGAGATGGTTGGGACATGTGTTACGACTGTTAAACTGCCGACTGCCTCGACGAGCGAGTTTTTGTGGTGTAGGAGAAGGTTGGAATAAGTTAGGGGCGGCCAAACCAAAACATGGCACAAATCCATGAAGTCGCTGACAACTGAACTGAGTCACGTAGATGTAGATGTAGACTACCTGGTTGGGGTCCGCGAGACGAAAGTCACCAATGGTTAGAGACCTTGAACAATGTGGCTCAAAATCGTTTACCATGGCGCAGGTGCATTTATTCTTTGTTCTCTCAAATCCTAATCTTCTGGATTCGTCAACACCTCTACCTATGAGTTTCTAAACTTATCTAACTGAACTGCACTTCTTGAATATTATCTTCAAATCCTAATCTTCTCTATTAGCAGTAATTCTTCTATCTCTACCACTATGGGATTTGAATTGACAATTGCGTCCCTGTACTAATATAGTATGGCAAAATGAACTGACGTACTTACGTACGAAGTCCAGCGTTGTAACTGACTGACTGAGGATTTAATCGTCCAATATAACTATTGCAAGACAAGTACATTACGAGCTAACCCACCACTGATTGATCAAGAAGCGAAAAGCAGCACAAAGAAGAGGTGGATATTTATTTGGCACCACATATGATAAATAAGAACACTATCATGTAACGTCTTGCGATAAGTCAGCCTAATACAAACATTAAATTTTAGAGGAAATGCAACAACCAAACATAAACTAAATTTTGCGTAAAATATTTTCAATGAAATAGAATTATCCTATAAAATTACATCGAACTTGCGATAGATCTAAAAATAAGTTAACCCAGTTAAAAACTATTTGATGAATATTCAGTATATAAAATGGTACGACCTTAGCAGTTATTTACTAATGGAAATGCTAATTTTAACTGAATTATTCACCTAAAAGTGTTGATAAACATGACTTAGCAACCATGTACAGGTAGACGTTATCGACTTGGCCATATTTTCAACGATGAATTTTATTGCCATTTTGTTCAAACCGAAGCATATACGAAGCGGTGTTAAAAATTGAGAAAATGGTTGAAAGTCGAGGCATTTTATGAAAACACCATCATTACGCGGACAAGAT